ATTCCTTATATGGATATGTTTTTCTGTATATGTGGCCATTTTATACAAAACACATGTTCTTGGGAAAAACATCCTGTATGGATATGTCCCCCTATCCTCATTGGTTAAGAGGGTAAAACTCCCCTCGACATGCCTATATAAGATCTGTATTTCTGTGAATAAATTGAAGTATTGAGAATACATGGACTGTGTGTTTTCTTACTTCCCGGCCGTATTTACACTTTAAGGAGACTGAGAAAATTTCACGGTGGCAAAGAGAATATCGAGGGACCAAATTGTTATTTATTAACAATTATGATCATTTTGAAACCACTAATCTGAAACTTGGCTGTGTTTACTTTAAAGCTCAATTCATCTTGTTTCTCTTTTTCATTCAGACGATGTAAGATGATATGGTTCGGTCCAATCCTCCAGACTCTCGTGAGGATCCAAACACTCTGGAGACGGAGGGAATCTGTGTACAGTTTGTGGTGGAAAATTCTGAATCTATTAATAAATGTGAAACTGAGAATAAATTAAAAAACAGTCATTAAGGCTTTGTCTTCATGTATCACTTTGTAGGCTACTTGACAATTGTGCTTGTTTGATTAATTGTTTAATTGACTCATGGATCCAAACATTTACAACCAATTTACAACTTACAAAACCACAGGAACATACCCTGATGGTCTAAGGCTGGGCATACACTGTGCGATTTCCGCAAGGTACCAACTCACACTGTATGAGACGATCGCATGCGATGTAAAGCCAAAGCTCACGAATTATGTGCTCACACTGTACGGTACAATTTTCGACCCAGAAGTGTGGCTGTTTCAGAAAAGGAAACATGTTACCAAGGGAGAAACGCACTGCCTTGGCAATATGTGCAGAAATGTCCAAGAAAAAAACGGATGTGGCTTGGAAGACGTTGGCAATATGATTTATCCATTTTGCAACGCGAACTAGAGGTAAACAGCTGTTTTCTACCATCTTTTTTCTCTTACTATAAAACATCTATTTATGCCAACCTTTGGTTGGATTATTGCTCACCATAAAGTCTTAAAGTTAAATTTAATCAATGCACAATTACGTACAGTCTTGTGTTCCCAGTCTAGAGCACAAAACAACTGATACTAGCCATACTGACCAATTACTGTTTCAGTCAAGTAGGCTTACATTTACATTTAATCATTTAGCAGACGCTTTTATCCAAAGCGACAATAGAAGCAATCAGACCAACGAGAGAGCAACAGTATACAAGTACGTAGCTAGGTTTGTTTTATAATATAAATAGAACAGAATAGAATAGGTAAGTGCTAGTATTAGTTGGTCAGGTGCTGGCGAAAACGATGTGTCTTTAGATGTTTTTTTGAAAATGGGTAAAGACACAGCTGTTTGAATTGAGATCGGGAGGTCATTCCACCAGCTGGCCACAGTCCAGGAAAAGGTCAGTGAGAGGGATTTTGTGCCTCTTTGGGATGGCAGCACATGACATCGTTCACTTGCAGAACACAAGCTTCTGGAGGGCGCACGAGTTTGAACTAGCAAGTTTAGGTATATTGGTGCAGCGCCAGCTTCATCATCTGATGTGCTGATATCACTGTGCCATTTCTGGTGTAGGTTTCATGTTATGTGTTATTGTAGGTGGATGATATGAATGGCTTTCGGGACCTTCTATGAATTTCTGTGGAAGACTTCGGTGTCCTATTAGAGAAGGTGGCTCCACACATCATGAAGAAGGACACCCACCTAAGGGCAAGGCCATTAGCCCCAAGGACAGGCTTTCTGTCACTCTATGTTTCTTGGCAACAGCTGAGCGTGCACACAAATGTAATCACAATTTAAATAACCCCTTTCTCTGTACTTGGAATGTTGATATTAGGCATCTTACCCCTCTGTCTGTCTATCTATCTATCTATCTATCTATATCAGACACGTTCACAAGTCTCTGAGGTCCAAGTCAAGTCTCAAGTCTTTAAAGTGGAGTCCAAGTCACGTCTCAAGTCTTTGTTCTATTTATTAGCAACAGTTCCCATACAAACAAAAGGCATGTCTGTGCTCTTTTTCAATTTAAAATTAGAGTCAACCACAGTATTTTAAACACAACACAATCCTAAAAAAGAGGCTGCATACATGCAGCATAAGAAGATTTTAATCTACATTGGATTGAATAATTTTGAAATTTAAAGCAAAATCAAAATGTTCTGACTTTAGTTTTGTGAAAATATTCTGCATAAAACATCTGCACGAAGCAAAACAGCAGACAGGCTGAATTAGAATGCAGAGTCACGCTCTGGTTGCTGCTGTAAACAAAGCAGCGCTGCGGTTATGAACACTACTTTATTATGCATTATACAGAGGCAAGATAAAAAGAAAATACCATCTAAAATTGTCTAAAGATAGCCAGTTCCCCTCAGAGATACATTCATATAAACTCCCATACCAAATGACTTGTGTTTTTTACGAGTATCATGAGTCACGAATCCAAGTCAAGTTTAGAGTCAGCTGTTCACGAGTCCAAGTCAAGTCCCAAGTCTTTATTTATGCGACTTAAGTGCAACTCGAGTCCAAGTCGCAGACTCGAGTTTCCATCTCTGATATACAGTATATATATATATATATATATATATATATATATATATATCTGACAGGTGAAACCTTCAACTCATTAAGTTTTCAGAGTCGGATTGGAAGCACAACACTGAGCAGGATTGTTATGGAGAACTGTGCAGCCCAAACTTCTGTACTACGTGACGATTACTTAAAGGGGTCATATGATGCTATTTCAAGTTTTCCTTTCTCTTTGGAGTGTTACAAGCTGTTCGTGAATAGATGACGGGGCATAGAGGAGAAACAATAATGTACAGTATGTGGAAAATAATGTGTTTTTTTTTTACTTTAAACGGCATAAACATTTCATTACACCAAATACACAACATAATGTTCTTTTTAGCAGCATCATATGACCCCTTTAAAGGTCATAGTGTTCTGATGAGGGGGTTAAAAACAGGACGGAAAATAGCCTATTACTTGAAATTAATTGATAACATTATAAGTTGACCTCAGAGAACAATGCAAAATAAAAAAACAGATCATGGCCCCTTTAAATTTTGTAAGTGAAAAACTGTAAAAAAAAAAAAAAAAATGCTGATAATACTCCAAATATTACTAGGTAAGTTTGCTATAACTTTTTTGTTTGTTAGTTTTTTTACTAGGTTACACAAACCTTTGAACTGGTGGGGATGGAAACTCACAGCTACTGAAAATGGAAATCAGTACATCTGTGTTATAGTATACTACCTGACAAAGTGGCCCCTGGCCTACCCACAAAAAAAACTAAATGGCAAAAGAAGTCTCAGACTGTTTGCTTAAATTTGTGTATCAGTTCGAGGCACCTCAAAGAGTACTCACTGATCAAGGCAAAGAGTTGTCAATGAGGTTAGTTTGCATGCATACATATTATTTGCATGCATACAGGTTAGTTTGCATGCATATATATATATACACACACGTCTGCAAGGTGCTGAACATTAACAAGTCCCTCTGCGCACCGCACCACCCGCAGACCAATGGACTTGTTGAAAGAATGAATGCAATGATCTAGAGGTGGTTTTTAAAAAATATGTTTTGATGCTCATTTAAAGTTGCCAGTGGGGTTGTTGCCCTTGTTTGGCTGCTGTGTAAGTCAGTTGTGTCCATTGCTGTAGTTTAGCAGATGATGAACGGTATTAAGGTCATGGGTTTGATTTCCAAGATGTACGCTGAAGGTCAGCTTAGTTCTAACATGGATTGGTGTGCCTAAGATTCTCAGTCAGTTTATGCATTTATAATGTTTTATATGTGTTTATATAAATAAAATGCATTCATAATTAAATCAAAGAACATGGCGCAAGAGTTAAATGATTCAAAATTTAAAGGTTGTCATATGTAATAATATACTGTAATAAAATACATGTAATAAGCTGTGTGTGCGTGAGTATTACACCCACCCTTTAAACAAATGTCAAAAATACTGCGCAGTCGTTTTCAGTTTCCTCAAAATTGCAACGCACCAACAATGTGCCTAAACACACCTGGTTTTCAGACCAGCACGTAGTATCCTCAATTCCCAAACAATTAAACATTGTAATTAAAAGTATGATGTGACACAGTGTTAACCGTGCCTCTCTCCCAACTTTTTTTCGGAGTGTGTTGCAGCAATCAAAATCTAAATTTGTTCATATTTATCTTAAAAGTACAAAGTTCTTTGTACTTTTGTCAATTAAATAAAAGTGAAAGAGAATTAACGAATCAGATTCTTGATTTTACAAAACGTCCCAACTTCTCTGGAATTGGGATTGTAATTAAAACCATTATTTTAACTCAACTGTTGATGTGACTGTAGAGTGTATATTTCATTATTTATGAATTCACATTTTCATTCAATGTTTCTGTATTTAAATTAATTTCCTGCTCTTGTAACTCGTGTGAATGCATTTATGCACCTTTTTGTGCTTTATATGTAGCTTCTGTACTGCTGTTTTAGTATAAAAATGACATAAGTGAATGTGAAATTGAGTCACGTATAGTTATTGGAGATCTTCATATGCATGTTAATTAGCAAAGAAAAAGAGAGAGAGAGGTTAAAGTAGCAAGCATGTTTTGTTACACCAGTAAATTAAATTTACTGTTATAATGTTGACACTGAGTCGGCATCATATGAAGAGGAAACAACATCACCTGTGTACATAATGTTCTCTGTGCCTATGATTTCCATAATTAAAGAGTTGAATGTGTTGTTACTGTTGTCTGTTATTTCCGTGTGTCATTACACTGTGTGCATACAGAAACATACAGACCCTCAGGTCTCAACCACATTCAAATTAACACGCTTCTAGAGAATTACAGCAACAAAGACTAACACAGAGAAAGAAAAAAACACATGATTTTAAGGAAGAAAAATCCTTAAACAAATGATGTGATGCTGAATGAGGGATAAGAGCAGATATAATAATCACAGTCTGAAGCTGCCGACAGAAGGACAGAAACACACGACCTCTGAAGTAAGACCAACTCACATGTTCAATCTTTAACTAGATTTAGACTTTGACGTGTTAATATCGTCTTAATCAGTGCGTACGGTGCATTTACGTTCCTGTTCAGATGGATTTTTAATTATCGCTGAAATCATGTTTTACACCAAAATTAATCTGTGAATATTTTTCTTTCTCAGAAATGGACCAAACTCTGTATTTCATTCTTCTTCTCATTGGTGAGTGTGTTTGTGGTTTTATTTCTGGTTTCTAGTTTCATTAGGTTTGATCCTGTTCTGAAAAGCATTAAAGCAAAGCCTCTCTTTCACAGCTCTCTGCTCTGTATCTGAATGTGTTCAGCGTCAGTATCACTTTATAAACGAGACGAAGACCTGGACTGAAGCTCAGAGATACTGCAGAGAGAAATACACAGATCTGGCCACCGTTGACCACATGACCGACATGAACGAGCTGAACAAGAGTGTGAATGACAGAAGTCTTCAGTATGTCTGGATTGGGCTGCAGAAGACGGGTCGTGATGAATGGCAGTGGTCTTCAGGTGAACCTGCGCTCTATCTGAACTGGGCTACTGGACAACCAGAAGGCACAGATTATTGCGCTATGATGAGAAATGGAGAATGGCATGATATTCCATGTAATTATAACCGGCATTTCATCTGCAACAACAGTGAGTTCATTTATATATGCACCATATACCAAATATTAATGGAATTCTAAACAGACTGTTTAATTTTATCCTTTTTTGTCCCCGTATCTGATCATTTGTCACAATGGAAACTTGCTATTAAAGAGCTTAAAAATCTTGGAGATCTAAATTGATCTTATATTGTTAATAAAAAACATACAGCAGTAACTAGACGTGATTCGGCTCGATATTTTCAGCCTTCAGTATCTCAACACAAACCTACAAAGGTTTTGTTTCTCATGTGTAGATTAACTTGAGTCTGGTTCATGAAGGAATGATAGTCCATTACAACATAAACCCTCGTTGCAGAGAAAAGTAATGCAGTGATTCAATAGTAAAGCTATTTTAAGTCACAGCGCAGGGTTGACGTCAAGCTTCTGTGCTTCTAAATGTTTCTCTGTGTGCCACTGACGGTCTGTATTTGTGTGCGTTTCATTTAATGGTTTGAATGGACACGCTCCAGCCAATCAGAATCACGTTTTTAGACAGATCACGGTATCATTTAAATATCTGTGAATATTTAATACATCATAATTACCAGCTGTAGAAGCAGCTCAAGTCTTTAATCTTTTCACAAATGAGTTTAAAATATACCAGCACGAGTTTTTCAGATGACCGTCATGTTAGACCGTTTCATCTTATTGTTTCCATGGCGATGTGTCATGCTTGTCATGTGACACACCGCAGCCACAAAGCTGTAAATGAGCGATGTATCGCCTTTATTTCATTTTTCTTGTTTTATTCAAAATACTTACAAACGTGTTGATTATATTATGAAATATCTGATATTCCACTCCTCAAATACGTGAAAGCAAATGTATTTGACAGCTTTATAATGACCATGTTAGTTGCTCTGAATCCGAGCTGTGGGATTTAAAGCGTAAATTCATCCTCTCCTCCCGAAATACATTAAAGTAAGTCTCCGGTGAACTGGGAGAAGAGTAGAGTAAACTTTGTTACCCACACAAGCTGTATATGATATCAATAAAACATCAAATTATATTTGTAAGGATTGTTATTGCCGCTTCCATAGACATCGGTTTGTATTTTACAAACTATAAATATATATTTTGCTAATGCTTACGTGTATTTAAATGTCTGAAACTTAAAATAAGCATTATATGGTGGAAACACTGAATAGTTGCGATAATATGACAACCTCATACACAGGGTTAAAAAGGCTTTCAGACGAATCCAGTCTGAGTTATATAAAAAATTGTCTTTGATCTTTCAAGCTCTATCGTTGCACTCAGCGGGTGTTGCAGTGCTTCGGTTCAAAAGACCTGAAATAAAAAGCACCCATCCATAAAAAAAAGTGTCTCACACGGCTCTGGGGGGTGAACAAAGGCCTTCTGTAGCGAATCGATGCATTTTTGTAAGAACAATATCCATATTCAAAACGTAATAATCTCTTTAATCTAGCTTGCGCTCACTGTTGTACACGGACGCAGCTCCGGTTCAGCTCCGGTTCTTACAAAACCGCATCGATTCGCTTCAGAAGGCCTTTGTTCACCCCCTGGAGCCGTGTGAGGCACTTTTTTTTATGGATGGGCACTTTTTATTTCACTTCTTTTGGACTGAAGCAATGCAACACCCGCTGAGTGCAACGATAGAGCTTGAAAGATCAAAGACAATTTTTAATATAACTCCGACTGGATTCGTCTGAAAGAAGAAAGTCATATACACCTAGGATGCATCGGGGGTGAGTAAAACGTGTTGTGGATTTTTCTTGGGTGCGGCCAATGAAGTGGAGGAGCAGAGTTCCAGATGTCAAAATAAGACTTTATTTAACAAAGAAACAAAGCCGGGAAGACAGTCACAGCATTCCAAATCATTCCAAAGTCTTTGTTTGTCAGCTCATATTATATACCCTTTGTTCTCTCCAAATTTGGTAATTTTCTGTTTTTTCTTTGTTCCGGTTATTTTTTATTGGTTATAGATACCTGATTTGCCACAATTGTTTCCAACCCTTTTGGCCTTGTTTTTTAATGGTGGAATGTGGTCCGATCAGCCATTTTTTAAAAGAGCTTTTATTTCATTGGTTGGTAGTGGTCACATGAGGAGGTGTGCGTCAAATCCATCCACCTGCTCCTGATAATATTAGATTATTTCAAGTTCATGTTTACTGTCTAATGAAAGGTCCACTGTCTAATGAAAAGACCATTATACATTCATCATTCCCCATCACTACATCCAGAGTTAACATAATTCAGCATATTAATTTATATACTGATTACTTTCATTTTCACATAACGTTCAATAAAATTACACAATAAACGCAGCCTAATTTTCACCCAATTTTTGGGTGAACCCTTTAAAACCATTATTTTCATCTCAGCCGTTGATGTGACTGTAAAGTGTATATTTCATTACATATGAATTCACATTTTCATTCATTTATTGTTTCTATATTTAAATTAATTTAATTTAATCCTGCTCTTGTAACTCATGTGTAAGTGTATTCATGCATCTTTTTGTGCAATCTTATGTGGCTTCTGTGCTGCTGTTGCAGAATAAAAATTACATAAGTGAATGTGAACATGAGTCATGTATAGTCATTGGAGGTCCACATATGCATGTTAATCTGCGGAAAGAAATGGGTTCAAGCATGTTTTGTTACACCAGTAAATTAAATTTACTGTTATAATGTTGACACTGAGTCGGCATCATATGAAGAGGAAACAACATCACCTGTGTACATAATGTTCTCTGTGCCTATGATTTCCATAATTAAAGAGTTGAATGTGTTGTTACTGTTGTCTGTTATTTCCGTGTGTCATTACACTGTGTGCATACAGAAACATACAGACCCTCAGGTCTCAACCACATTCAAATTAACACGCTTCTAGAGAATTACAGCAACAAAGACTAACACAGAGAAAGAAAAAAACACATGATTTTAAGGAAGAAAAATCCTTAAACAAATGATGTGATGCTGAATGAGGGATAAGAGCAGATATAATAATCACAGTCTGAAGCTGCCGACAGAAGGACAGAAACACACGACCTCTGAAGTAAGACCAACTCACATGTTCAATCTTTAACTAGATTTAGACTTTGACGTGTTAATATCGTCTTAATCAGTGCGTACGGTGCATTTACGTTCCTGTTCAGATGGATTTTTAATTATCGCTGAAATCATGTTTTACACCAAAATTAATCTGTGAATATTTTTCTTTCTCAGAAATGGACCAAACTCTGTATTTCATTCTTCTTCTCATTGGTGAGTGTGTTTGTGGTTTTATTTCTGGTTTCTAGTTTCATTAGGTTTGATCCTGTTCTGAAAAGCATTAAAGCAAAGCCTCTCTTTCACAGCTCTCTGCTCTGTATCTGAATGTGTTCAGCGTCAGTATCACTTTATAAACGAGACGAAGACCTGGACTGAAGCTCAGAGATACTGCAGAGAGAAATACACAGATCTGGCCACCGTTGACCACATGACCGACATGAACGAGCTGAACAAGAGTGTGAATGACAGAAGTCTTCAGTATGTCTGGATTGGGCTGCAGAAGACGGGTCGTGATGAATGGCAGTGGTCTTCAGGTGAACCTGCGCTCTATCTGAACTGGGCTACTGGACAACCAGAAGGCACAGATTATTGCGCTATGATGAGAAATGGAGAATGGCATGATATTCCATGTAATTATAACCGGCATTTCATCTGCAACAACAGTGAGTTCATTTATATATGCACCATATACCAAATATTAATGGAATTCTAAACAGACTGTTTAATTTTATCCTTTTTTGTCCCCGTATCTGATCATTTGTCACAATGGAAACTTGCTATTAAAGAGCTTAAAAATCTTGGAGATCTAAATTGATCTTATATTGTTAATAAAAAACATACAGCAGTAACTAGACGTGATTCGGCTCGATATTTTCAGCCTTCAGTATCTCAACACAAACCTACAAAGGTTTTGTTTCTCATGTGTAGATTAACTTGAGTCTGGTTCATGAAGGAATGATAGTCCATTACAACATAAACCCTCGTTGCAGAGAAAAGTAATGCAGTGATTCGATAGTGAAGCTATTTTAAGTCCCAGCGCAGGGTTGACGTCAAGTTTCTGTGCTTCTAAATGTTTCTCTGTGTGCCACTGACGGTCTGTATTTGTGTGCGTTTCATTTAATGGTTTGAATGGACACGCTCCAGCCAATCAGAATCACGTTTTTAGACAGATCACGGTATCATTTAAATATCTGTGAATATTTAATACATCATAATTACCAGCTGTAGAAGCAGCTCAAGTCTTTAATCTTTTCACAAATGAGTTTAAAATATACCAGCACGAGTTTTTCAGATGACCGTCATGTTAGACCGTTTCATCTTATTGTTTCCATGGCGATGTGTCATGCTTGTCATGTGACACACCGCAGCCACAAAGCTGTAAATGAGCGATGTATCGCCTTTATTTCATTTTTCTTGTTTTATTCAAAATACTTACAAACGTGTTGATTATATTATGAAATATCTGATATTCCACTCCTCAAATACGTGAAAGCAAATGTATTTGACAGCTTTATAATGACCATGTTAGTTGCTCTGAATCCGAGCTGTGGGATTTAAAGCGTAAATTCATCCTCTCCTCCCGAAATACATTAAAGTAAGTCTCCGGTGAACTGGGAGAAGAGTAGAGTAAACTTTGTTACCCACACAAGCTGTATATGATATCAATAAAACATCAAATTATATTTGTAAGGATTGTTATTGCCGCTTCCATAGACATCGGTTTGTATTTTACAAACTATAAATATATATTTTGCTAATGCTTACGTGTATTTAAATGTCTGAAACTTAAAATAAGCATTATATGGTGGAAACACTGAATAGTTGCGATAATATGACAACCTCATACACAGGGTTAAAAAGGGTTAAATGACGTGTTTCTGATGTTTGCACCGCTGCTCCTGTTCACATCCAAACCATAAAACAGCGTAAGAATAATGAACAAACCAATTCATGAATCTTTTTCTCATTTGTTTTTCTTAAAGCGAACACAGGACTCGTCTTTGTCAATCAGCTGAAGAGTTGGAGAGACGCTCAGAGTTACTGCAGACAGAATCACGCTGATCTGGTCAGTGTGAGAAACCAGAATGAGAGTCAACAGGTTCAGAAGATCATCAGTGATAATAACTCATCTGGACTCTCTGCTCTGTATCTGAATGTGTTCAGCGTCAGTATCACTTTATAAACGAGACGAAGACCTGGACTGAAGCTCAGAGATACTGCAGAGAGAAATACACAGATCTGGCCACCGTTGACCACATGACCGACATGAACGAGCTGAACAAGAGTGTGAATGACAGAAGTCTTCAGTATGTCTGGATTGGGCTGCAGAAGACGGGTCGTGATGAATGGCAGTGGTCTTCAGGTGAACCTGCGCTCTATCTGAACTGGGCTACTGGACAACCAGAAGGCACAGATTATTGCGCTATGATGAGAAATGGAGAATGGCATGATATTCCATGTAATTATAACCGGCATTTCATCTGCAACAACAGTGAGTTCATTTATATATGCACCATATACCAAATATTAATGGAATTCTAAACAGACTGTTTAATTTTATCCTTTTTTGTCCCCGTATCTGATCATTTGTCACAATGGAAACTTGCTATTAAAGAGCTTAAAAATCTTGGAGATCTAAATTGATCTTATATTGTTAATAAAAAACATACAGCAGTAACTAGACGTGATTCGGCTCGATATTTTCAGCCTTCAGTATCTCAACACAAACCTACAAAGGTTTTGTTTCTCATGTGTAGATTAACTTGAGTCTGGTTCATGAAGGAATGATAGTCCATTACAACATAAACCCTCGTTGCAGAGAAAAGTAATGCAGTGATTCAATAGTAAAGCTATTTTAAGTCACAGCGCAGGGTTGACGTCAAGCTTCTGTGCTTCTAAATGTTTCTCTGTGTGCCACTGACGGTCTGTATTTGTGTGCGTTTCATTTAATGGTTTGAATGGACACGCTCCAGCCAATCAGAATCACGTTTTTAGACAGATCACGGTATCATTTAAATATCTGTGAATATTTAATACATCATAATTACCAGCTGTAGAAGCAGCTCAAGTCTTTAATCTTTTCACAAATGAGTTTAAAATATACCAGCACGAGTTTTTCAGATGACCGTCATGTTAGACCGTTTCATCTTATTGTTTCCATGGCGATGTGTCATGCTTGTCATGTGACACACCGCAGCCACAAAGCTGTAAATGAGCGATGTATCGCTTTTATTTCATTTTTCGTTTTATTCAAAATATTTACAAACGTGTTAATTATATTATGAAATATCTGATATTCCACTCCTCGAATGTTGAATGACGTGTTTCTGATGTTTGCACCGCTGCTCCTGTTCACATCCAAACCATAAAACAGCGTAAGAATAATGAACAAACCAATTCATGAATCTTTTTCTCATTTGTTTTTCTTAAAGCGAACACAGGACTCGTCTTTGTCAATCAGCTGAAGAGTTGGAGAGACGCTCAGAGTTACTGCAGACAGAATCACGCTGATCTGGTCAGTGTGAGAAACCAGAATGAGAGTCAACAGGTTCAGAAGATCATCAGTGATAATAACTCATCTGGATCATTTGTCTGGATCGGTCTGTTCAGAGTCAGAGACTCGTGGCAGTGGTCAGATCAGAGTGACTCCTCATTCAGATACTGGAAACCTGGTCAACTGGATAATTGGGGAGGTAGTGAAAATTGTACACTGATTGAAATGAAACCTCAGGGACTATGGTGTGATGCCTCTTGCACCAACCAATATCCTTTTGTGTGTCATGAAGGTGAGTAGATCCTCACAAAACACACACAATCCATTCATCACCTTCAGGGGCCCGTTCTCCGTACATCGCTAACTCAGTTAGCTGGATGTGATTGTTGATGATTTGGCCTGATCTTGGATTATTTGGTTCTTCGAAGCTCATCCCGGAGTTGCTGTCATAGCAACAGGTCCGTGAGCTTAAACCTGCTCGAGAGCAGCTTATTTCATGTAGATTGCATCTTTTTAAGTGATACTTAAAATCTGTCCCAGCCACTTCTACTTTATTACAAGAGTACCCTACTGATCCAGGGACGGTAATTTACAATAATAATCATTTAAAAATTAATTTGAAAATAATAATGTTGTGTAATCAATAATACTACAGTATAGACAGCCAGTTTTACTCACTGAAAGATTTATTCATGATAAAATAATAACTATAAATGTAGTGGAGTCTTACACACATGCTACACAGATAATGTAGAGTCGTGCATTAATGTGAGTGATGACAGATATAGAGGTGAGTGCTGACAGATCTTGACCCTTAAGAAACTTTAATTAATGCCGTCACGTAACAAATCTGCTTCAAAGATCAAATTTAATGAATTGCTAATTACAACATTGAACTAAAAATGTAAAGCCTGTACAAATACTAGAAATCGTGAAGATAAATAATTGAGAATCATGTAAAAAAAAAAAAAATTTAATTAAAACCAGTCCACATTTCATTGATCTATTATTACATTTATGTCGTTTTGTTCGCTTGGCTGTTTCCAGGTGTCTATTTTAATGATATGATGTCATTACGTTGCTGCCTTGCCGCCAGCCAATCGCTGCGCTGCTGATCGTGGTTTCCAGTATCGATACATCTGCCCTTTTCAGAGAACACGAGAACGTGCAGTAATCTTAATCCAGATATTTTAATCAAATCCACAAAATCGTTTGAAGAACCAAATTAGCCAGAGATCAGTTATCACGATTAGATGATCTGGAATCTTTCAAATCATCTCAGATGTATTAAGCGAGGTACGAAGAACGTGCCCCAGATCTCTTAAAGTTCACGCTACATGTCTGACATGACACATTCATCCTCAGTGTTTGTCCCGCATGTTGTTTTTGATCAGTCTCTCTCTAGCTTCTGCTTGTGCTTTGTTTGGTTTCCAGACGCTGAACTGATTGTGATCAGAGAGAATCTGACGTGGTCTGAAGCTCTGAGATACTGCAGACAGAATCACGTGGATCTGGTCTCGGTTCATTCAGAAGAGATTCAGCGTTGTGTGATGAACGTGGTTAAACGGGCGTCTACTGCGGCGGTGTGGTTGGGTTTACACAACTACTGCAGCATGAACATGTGGCTCTGGCTGAGTGGAGAGATGGTGTGCTATCAGAACTGGGCTCCAGGGAACGGGACGACACGGGAAAACTGCAGCCTCGAGAAGAGAAAAGGAGCAGTTCAGTCTGGAGGAGATCAGCGCTGGATCAGCCTTCCTGAATCTCACAAACTCAACTTCATCTGCAGCAGATATTAAGAGCGAGGAACACGCTAATGTGTTTCCTTACAATAGCAGTTTTCATAGGCCACTTCATTCTTTTTCACTTTTATTTGTACTTTTAGAAGTTCTGAGTGAATCTGCTTATTGGGTTTTAAAAGTGGCCAAAAGTCTGTTTTATTTCTGTGTTATAAATATGGGTGTTATATCTGATGTGGTTATGATTCTGTATGCTTTGCACTAATCAAATGTTTTGAACACAAGCACGGGATAACAGAAAAGCAGCTCAAATAAACTCATCTACAGCCAGATTTGTCTCCTCTTTCCTGATTTCCCCTCAACATCCTGGTGAACATAATTTAGAAGTAATAGAGCATTCTGATGAGGGAGGTTAAAAACAGGACAGAAAATAGCCAGTTTGAATAGGCGTGGAGGATTGCTATGATTGACTTGTGTATGTTTGGAGATGGACGCTGCCGTGATTTAGGTCAAAAACGCAGAAATACTCAGTACATATCAAAGAATCGGTGGGTGGGGCTAAACAGGCAGTGATGTAGAATCGGTGGGCGGTGTTAAACAGGCAGTGATGTAGAAGCAGGTGTTGATCTCCTTCTGTGGAGGCGGTGCTTATCCACACTATTTCATCTGTAGTGGACAGCACCAGTGTTGCCAATTTAAGCTGGCTGCACACTAGACGATTTTCAAATCTTAAAAGATTTTAAAACCATGGGAGACCACAGACATGAAGACAGTTCAACCGATTTTTAGCCTTATAATCCTCTGAATGCGCACACTAGATGATTAAACCAGACCACGAGACCACACACTTGATGATTGTAGGAACGATTTCACAGTGACACGAGATCTCACGGACACTCGCGAGATCAAACGTGACTAGAGTGACAAACGTGACAAATAAACACCCTGTGCAGACTCCCGATCGTATTTCACATCACTGAAATGGATGACGAGAATCTGTGTCAGAATCTGAATCTTTAACTAAAGTCACGGCTGAGAAAATGACACTCGATGTTGAGGGCATAGCATCTCCTTCATCAGCTTTCTCCTCCTGTGCATCGGTCTCCACTTCTCTGCTCTTGTCGGGGGGTTTTATGTTCCAGATGTCTTGAACCTTTTCCGGAAAACATCCAGAAACTAATTGCCTTGTCAGGGCAAAAAGATTCAACTGATTCCCCATTTATGGAGAGTTGCATGCAGTCATTCTGTGTTTCAGGCTGTAGAGAGGTACGATGTGTTGTCTTCACTCGGTTCATGCAAGAAAATCCTCTCTCACAGATGGCTGTCGATGAACTAAGTGTCAGCATTAATTTCACCAGCAACAAGATATGAGAGAGGTGTTCTGGATTCTCAGAAAGGAGATCTCTGTACAAGCAATCTACCTTGTTACCCCGGTGTTCTGCAAGCCACATTTTTAGATCCATCCATTCTTGTGGAATTTTCTCCTTCTCTTTCTCATCTAGCAAACTGGCAAAATGTGGGACAAGATAATCCACCTCTTGCCCATGTACTTGACTGTGTTGTCAATAATCTTCTGAATCTCTGCACCAAGGGTGTCTTTGTCTGTGCCCTCACCTCTTCTAGCAGTTCGCAGACTTTTTGTGAGCTGAGTTCCACAGTACCAAATGGTGCCATCCTCGTTCACTGTGAACTTTGTGTCCAAGGTTTTCTGGTATTCTCCTGGTTTTGTTTTCAGGCTGAGTAAGCGTGATGTGGTGCTCCCAACTGACTGATTTGTCCACGTGATGTTTAAGTTGTCATGCTGAAAATCAGTACTGCGCTTTTATAAGATGGTACTGTAGTCCAACATGAAATGCAGAAAACGAACAAATTTCTCAGTCTACATCTCCTGCACCACCCCCTTTGCTTTGGCTGCATCCTCTGACTTGATATCACTTCCTCCTGCCATGTTCTCCATATGAACAACAGTGGGAGTGTATTTGTTTTCCACAGCCTTTAGACATCTTAGCCTGCTTGGAAGCCACTGTGTGCTCTTCAGGCCACTGAAATGTGCCACTTTCTCATTTATTTCCGTCAGTTCTCTTCGCTTCTTTGGGGAATAGTAGTACGTCTTAAAGATGGTTTTCAGTGCATCTTCAAATTTCACCAGGTCTAGGGCTGTCAACATTTTTTTTAATTTCGAATATTCGTCAAATAAAAAAAATCCACATTCGAATGCAAAGACATTGCATTCGAATTTTAGGTCTGCGTCAGCCGTCAGGCAGCCTTATCATTGGCGCACGAAATGCGACAACGATGTAAGTGTCATTGCATTTGTTAGCCTATCCAGTTGAACCCACTAGATGCGGCGCTGATACGTTGTTCATTCATATATTGCGGAAAACGAGTGCATCAGTGTGGAGAAGATGTTGTTTACGTCAAAACTGAAACCAAGCCGTTCACACAGAATGCATATGTATCACATTTTCTAGAGGGACATCTATCAGCGTTGCACTCGCGCCTCGCACAAGAGAGCCGCATGTTTAGAAAGCCATGTAAAATTAAGCAAGTTCAGCTTTTAAAAAAACATGTCTCAAGACTTTTTGGTGGTTTTCCCCCATCCCACTGTATCTCATGTTTTTAAATGAAGAAAGTAGCCTACTTTTGTGATTGGTTTTCGGTCCTTTGTATTAAACTATACATCCATGCATGGTGCTGTTTTTTTTCTAATTGCTTAAGCAACTTTATTAATTATATATGGTTTATAAACATTATTTTAAACATTATGCAATTTTTCAAAGATAGTCGTGTTATTTTATTACACTTTGAAGAAACGTCCATAATATTTTGCTCGATGCGCCCTCTTGTGGCCTCAGGAGAGAAGCCAAAGTTTTTTTCCCCCTAACTGAAATTATGCCTTTTAAATTGGAATATAATTCGAATTTTGATCATATTTAAGTAGAAAATTTGAATTTAGTTTTTCAGTCATTTTGACAGCCCTAACTCACAGCCTTTCACACTATCCAGCACGGCTAGCTCTAATTTGTGTGCCACACAGTGGATTGTTATGATGTGGGGTATCCTCTGTTTCAGTCTCCCAGCTACTCCTGTTTTCTCACCCATCATCACTGCAGCACCATCAAAATTTGCACACACTACTTTCTTTTTCCATGTGTCTTCTTTAATAACCATGATGTTCACTGCCTCATCAATAGACTCTAAAATACCTGCAGCATTTGCACTCTTTGACGTGCTGACATTTATGTGGATATGTCACCATTATCTCTCACATACCTGACATGAACCAACTCCTGTTCTATTACACTAGTGTCTGTACTGCCATCTGCAAGAATGGATGAGAACCTGCTTTCTTGAATTTCCTTTTCGATCTGGTCCCTTGAGGTTTGTGCTATTGCTTCAATAAACTCTCTGCAAGCGTGGTCATTGAGGTAAGTGGAACCAAGGTCTAGGCCATTTGCTTTTTGAAGTTTGCAAAGACTGCTAAATTTTGGCAATGGTAATTCACTTTTTACAACATAGTATGCTGTTCTGAACAGTTTTTTCAGGACTTCTTGTTGTGCTTGATTTATTTTTAGTATGTTTTTTGCAATTGGCGTTTGTTCTGGGAAAGATGCTGCAGACTGAGCACCGATGCATTTCTTGTGATGCAGGGATTTCTCAAGGGGTCTTTCCTAAAAATTACTGGTCCCAGTAACAAACGTGCTTGTCGAGTCAGAAATCGAGGGAAACTCACGACACACCCGGCAGAACACTGTGTTATTTAGCTTGTCATGTTCCAGCCACAGAAATTATTTTGTCCATGAAACCAAAAAGCTGCGCTTTATTTTTGCCTCATAGTCTGATTTTTCAGAACTTTTCCGCTTTGTGGTAGTCTGCTTTTCTTTGGCTGTCCCTTCTTCACCCTGACCTGTCTTATTTGGCTCAGCAGAACTAAAATACCTGCGTAAATCCATGCGCCTCTTATTTTCACACACATAACAGTCAGTGGTTTTCGAACTTCTCTCCACTGCGTAATCAATCTCTATCACATGTTTAAGCGTGCTGTGGGAGATTTCACTTGTCACGAGAGGATAGTAGGCTAATGACTGACTGGACGATGTCGAAGGAATTGGTGCGCAACAAAAACCGTCACTGACCAATCCTGCCGCTCCCTATACACAGTTTGCGCGATCATAAATTGAAAGTGAAAGTAAAAGTTAAAAAAGCAAGCGCGAATTCAAATACGATTTCAATACTCCACATATTGTTAGTGGCTCCCCGATGCCCAAAAATTACATACAACATAATTACCAAACTATATTTGTAAGAGAATGCAAAAGCATTGAAATGTATTTTTCCTCCCCATAAGATAGCCCGGCGGGCAGGGCGGAGATAGATTTTGGTAGCCCGACTTGAATACACAATAGCCCCGGGACGTCGGGCTAGCGATTTTGCAAGCCCTGCAACTTTAATCTCGCATTGTTACGACTTTATTTTCATTATCGACTTTATTCTCAAAATATTATGACTTTATTCTCGTAATTTCGACTTTCTCAAAATATTTCAGCCTTATTCTTGGAATTTTTACTTCAAAATATTTTGACTTTAATCTCATAATCTTTGATTTTTTTTTTTCATGTTTTAACATAAACTTAAAACGCTGTCGTAGAGGCTTGGTGCACGCAGAGATAAAAAAAGTACCCATGCCCGCAGTAAAAATATACTGCTGGATCTTGTTGTGGGCCTAATTTTCTGCAGGAGGTCCTGTATCTTGTTCAGATGCATGGCATCAAGGATTCTTCCACATACCAACAGATTAAAAAAATCTAAACCTGACCTCTGTTAGAAATCTTATAATAGGCCAAAACTCAAAGCTGTTATCTTGGCAAAAAGAGGTTGCAAAAAGTTTTGAATAAAAGGTACTGAGGTACTGTTAAGTGCGTCCAACATGTATTAGAGAAAACGTCTCAGGTTACTTATGTAACCATGGTTCCCTGAGTAGGGAACGAGACACTGCGTCCTCTAGGTTTCTTGCCATGCTGCGGACGCAAGCTTCAGACGAAGAAGTGAATGATGTGTAGCTCCCGGCGCCGATTTATACTGGAGTCGCACCGGTAGTGACGT